ACGCATCGACAAAGACATGGATGAGGTCGCGGTCTATCTGTACGACGACCTCCTCTCCGGCAACTCATCCATCGGTGATGTCCTTCGAGACAAAGATTGCGTTGAACTTCGACTCAAAAGTGCGGACAATAAGCTGAAGAATCACTCATCGCTGGCCTCGTGTTCAATATGTCTGAACCCGTTTGACAGTCACGTCGGCGGCTATGATGGCGGCGCCGAAGACCGGTGGCAGCGGACTCTTTACTGTAGTCATCGGTTCCACAAGCGCTGTATCGATGAGTGGCTGAAAACGGACAGACAGTGTCCGATGTGTAGACGCACTGATCCGACCCGACAGATGGCTAGACGCGGCGGCGGACACTCCCGGCGCCCACAATACCCGACCGTCCGTATGAGCGCTACCATTGATCTCGATTAACACATGTCATGATATTTGCCTTTATATGTCCACTGATTGGCTATTTTTAATACCATTTGTAAATCATTTACTATTTATTTATAATTATTTTCTCTTTTTATATTTTTTTCAATAATTAGTTTGAATTCTGTTTTTATCAATAAATTGATTTTATTATCCATTTCTTGTCATAATTATTGGATTGATTTTCAGACATGAACTCATCTGAGAACTGGAGGAATGGATTCAGTGCCAGACAAAGACAATAGAGAAGTAATGATTCCAATGAATGACATTTTAAACTAAATATTTTATATTTAATTACTTTATATTTGACTTTTAGTTATAAAAGTTGATAATCACTGCATTTGTTCCCATATATAGCTTAACAGTTGTGTGCAATCAGTCGATGGTGTGGTGCTATTCCTCCACTTCTTATTGTGGTTTTAATTGTGAGTTAAATGATTGTAATTGTCTTATAATTCATGGTTTGATTTAATGTACGTTTAGTTCATTAATACACCGATTGTTATGTCATTTATATAACAGTTTATATGACTATTGGCTATAAATTGTGACACAAATGGAAATGCGTTTCAATTTGTTGTGACTTTTGTTTCGAATAACTATTGAATTAATTGTTTATTAATTGAGTTTTGATTACAAATTAGACCACAAATCAGATCCCAAGACATCACTCGCGAGCACCGGAAGAATGGCATCGAATCCCACGTCAGTATTGGTGTCCATAAAGACGTTGTGTCCCGAAGTGGAGGACTATTGGCTATCAATTCCTTCCCATATGAAGACAATCGATGGTCTGAAACGACACATTCTGACAGACAATTGCATCATTAAAGACATGGATGACGTCGACCTCTATCTCATCGATGGCTTACTTCGCGGCAACTCATCCATCGCTGGTGTCCTTCGAGACAGAGATCGCATCGAAATGCGTGTCAAATGTGTGGACAATGTTTGTCGGATCAGCTCTTCGGTTCATAATAGGATTAGGAGTTCACCGAATGAATGGTCGAGTTTTTGAATCATAAGACGTGAGATAATCACTTGATTTGTTCCCATATTTAGCATTACTGTTAAAGACTCAGATGACGGGTCACTGAGTGGCGGATCGGGTGTTCAGACCGTAAGCACATCTGGGAATCAATTGAATCGCGATCGCAAGCCATCGATTGATCCCAACATATCTGCGACCAATCGATTGGACACCAAATTTTCTTCAGCGCTGGAAGTGTTCAACAAATCTGTGTTTAAACGCAAAACAGTCACTAAAAGAGCCGATAAAATGATAGTAAAGAGTGAATCCAGCGATTCCAACGCCTGTCCGCCCGTCTCAACGGCCAGAATATCATCGAAAAGTGTTGAAAAGAAGACAATTGGACCCGAAGTGGAGCCGCAGTGGCCATCGAGAAGCGGTCAGACAGCGAGTCAATGGTGGGGCGTATGCCGTGAGCCGAAGTGTAACTTCAGGACTCAAAGTGTGGTTGAGTGGAACAAACATAAACTGATCCATCGGTTCGCGTGTGACCAGTGTTTGGGTCTCCGGACGTATTCAACTCGACATAACTTACGCAGACATCACCTCCAATCACATCCCAAACACTGCCCAACTATAGACACGCAAAAGGCTATGAAATCAGTGGCCATTCCGCCCGAAGACAGAGTGGAAGAGAATGTGGTATTCGATAGCGGTTCCAGTGGTTTTGGCGACTGTCCGCCCGTTTCTACGGCCATTATATCGTCGGCCGCAGCGGTGGTCACGCAATGGCTCGACAACTGTCACACCAAAAGCGTTGCCATTGAGAACACAATTAGACCCAAAGGCGCCGTAAATGGACGGCCAGCGCCTGGAAGTGGTCGCCAAAGCGGTGGTCGTGAATGTGAAGCGCTTCAGTGCCGAAGACACGGATGTAATTACGAGACCGGAAGTGTGAAGAGCCTTCTTCACCACAAGTGCGGCCATTATCTCAAGTGTGAGTTATGTGTGGGTCTTGTGTTCAACAATATGGCCGACCTATCGGCACATCACCGCCGATCACATCCCGACCACAAATGGATTAATTGTCCAATAAATGGCTGTTTGGTTAAGATTAAGTTCTCTGCCATTACTAAACATATGCTTAAGTATCACAACTGTTAATTGATGGCACTTATGGTGTGTACATATTCTTCCACTTCTTATTGTGGTTAACATTTTAATTGTAATTTAATTTTATGTAATTTTTAATGCAATTAAAAGTTTTGTTCATTCATAACGTTTTGTTACGTTATTTATGGCTATTGTTTCTCAAATCAAATCTCATGTCTTTGTTGTGACTTTGTTTTGAAAATTAATGAATTGTTTATTAATTTTGATTACAATTTAGACCACAAATCATATCACAAGACATTATATCCTATTTGGAAGAATGGCATCGAATCCAATGTCAGTATTGGTATCCATAAAGACGTTATGTCCAGAAGTGGACGACTATTGGCTCTCAATACCGGCGGACGTGAAGACCATCGATGGTCTCAAACGACACATACTGTCAGACAATTTCATTGTCAAAGACATGGATGACGTCGAGCTCTATCTGTCCGATGGCGTACTTCGCGGAAACTCATCCATCGCTGGTGTCCTTCTAAACAGGGATCGCATCGAAATGCGGATCAAATTTATGGACAAAAAGCGGATCAACTCTTCAGCGGACAGTACTTCTAGCCATAAAAGGAGCAAATGTTCAGTGAATGAGTGGTAAGAATACAAGATTTGACTTTTGATTATAAGAGTTGATAATCACTTGATTTGTTCCCATATTAAGCATTACTTTCGAGGATTCATATGAACAGACAATGGGTGACACATCGGGTGTCCAGACTATTGTTAAGACCGAAAGCATTTGCGGGAATCAACTGAATTGCGATCGCAAGCCATTATTAGAGTCGTCCACATCTGTGGCCAACCATTTGGACACAGAGTCCTCAGCGCCAAAAGTGTTCATCAAATCTGGGTTTAAATATATTACAGACATTATGAGAGCCGATAAGCCATTACTTAATGAATACGGAGACAAAATGGCAGAGAAAGTGATAGTAAAGAGTGAACCCAATGTTTCCATCGACTGTTCGCTCGATTCTACGTCCAGTATATCGTCGGCCACAGCAGTGGACACACAATCGGGCGATGAATATCACACAAAAGACGTTGCGATGGAAACAATTAGTGTCGACAATACTGGTAGTCATAAAAGTACTAAAAGTTCTTCGACTGAAAGGTAAGCATTTGTGTCATAGGAGTTGATAATCACTGCATTTGTTCCCATATAGCATATGTAAGTGCGGCCGCTATCGCAAGTGTTATCTATGTGTGGCCAGAACTGGGCGCCCGACTAATAGCGCCACCGCTGCGGCCCCGACTGTTGCCGCCACAGCTCGTGCTATGTCTACGATAGTGAGCGCTCAGTCGTTACAACCATTCACTGAGAAGCATAAAATTAGGCTAGCGCTAAAAGTAGTTAATGTTGGTTTAAGTGATGGCCACAAACAAGTTGTCATTGCAGTTGATTGCAGTCACAACACACCACAACAACACTACCTTAAGCTGGAGTTCGAGTCCAATGTAGTGAAAGAGTCATCGCTGACGATCGGACAGGTGTTCACTTTACAACACTTCGAGACCAGACGTTTGGTGGGCTATTGTGCGGCTCAATGTATGTCCACTTTGTCTTACACTTGTCTTTATTATACTCACTGCGTGTCTCTCTTTTCCCAATTGTCTTGTTTTAGTGAGCGATGGAAGTGTCATAACTCGTGACCAATTTTTGAATGTAGTCATTGTTGTTAAATGCACTGACAAACACAAACCCATCATCACATTAATAGACAGTAGCGATGAATGGCTTAATTATACGGACAACAAAACGGTGGCCAAAAAGGCGGCTAAACCTAAGAAGAAGCGGATGAATGTGACGTCCAGTGGTTCCGAAGCGTCGGATGCGAAGGAAATGCTCGCAAAGAAAAAGGTATTTGATTTGAATATTTGTTGTCCTATATTTGGATCCAATTTGATAATTGATGTGATTCTGACAGATGGCAAGGGCTGTGAGTGACGGCTCCGACTCGGAGGAAGTGGTCCGCGAGTTCAGTACTAAGAGTGATCTAACGGCACATCACCGCCGATCACATACCAACCACTCGGCGGCTGCCATACAATGGTTTGATTGTCCGATCAATGGCTGTATGTTTAAGATTAAGGATTTGTCGAAGAATAGCAAACATATGCTTCAGTATCACAAGAGATCGTCGAAACGCCACTAATGGTGTGCACCTATTCTTCCACTTATTTTGTGGCTTAAAATTTTAATTGTCATTCAATTTAATGTAATTTTTAATGTAATTAATGTTTGGTTCAATTAAATGAATGATTTGTTTATTAATAACGTTTTGTTACGTTATTTATGGTATGATTTGTGAACACAAAAACACGTGTTATTTGTTGTGACTTTTGTTTTGATAATTAATGAATTGATTGTTAATTAAATTTTGGTTACAATTCAAACACATATTGTATCACAAGATATCACATCCACACCAGAAGAATATGGCATCGATTCACACGTCAGTATTGGTGTCCATTAAGACGTTATGTCCAGAAGTGGGCGACTATTGGCTATCAATCCCTTCCCACGTGAAGACCATCGATGGTCTCAAACAACATATACTGTCAGACAATTGTATCGTCAAAGACATGGATGACGTCGAGCTCTATCTGTCCGATGGCTTACTTCGCGGCCATTCATCCATCGCTGGTGTCATTCGAGACAGAGATCGCATTGAAATGCGGATCAAATATATGGACAAAAAGCGGATCAACTCTTCAGCGGACAGTACTTCTGGCCATAAAAGGAGCAAAAGTTCAGTGAATGAGTGGTAAGAATACGTTATTTGACTTTTGATTATAAGAGTTGATAATCACTTAATTTGTTCCCATATTTAGTATAATTCTTGAGGACTCCGATGACGAGACAATGAGTGGCCGATTAGTTGTTGAGACAATTGTTAAGACCGAAAAGACATCCGCGAATCCATTGAATTGTGATCGCAAGCCATCAATAGATATCTTCATATCTTCGCCACCAAAAGTGTTCATCAAATCTGAGTTTAAGCACAAAACAGACACCAAAAGAGCCCATAAATCAGTGATCAATGAATGTAAAGACAAAGTGATAGTAAAGTCTGAACCCATCGATTCCGGTGACTGTCCGCCCGATTCTACGGCCAGTATATTGTCGGCAGCAGTGGTCACACAATCGGGTCGTAAAATTAATGCCGACAATACTGTTAGTCATAAAAGTACTAAAAGTGCTGCGACTGAAAGGTAGGCATTTATGTCATATATGAGAGTTGATAATCACTGCATTTGTTCCCATATATAGCGCAAGTGTTGTGGACTCCGATGACGAACCACTGAGTAATCGATTCAATTTTAAGACAATATCTACAAAGAAAGTGATAGTAAAGAGCGAATCCAGCGGTGAGTCTGTTGAACGTAAGCCCAATTGTACGGCCAGTATATCGTCGGCATCAGTGGTCACACAATCGGGCGGCAAATACCACACAACAAACACTGCCATCAAAACACTGGGATCCGTATCAGAGCCGCGGAACTCTTCCATCGGTGATGTTATTCGAGACAGAGATCGCATTGAAGTGCGGCCAAAGTTTGCTGACAAACGCCGGATCAGGTCTTTGCCCGACAGTACCATTGGTCACACAAAGCCAGTAAAGAGTAAATCCAACGGTTCTGTCGACTATCGGCCCAATTCTAGGGCCAGTATATCGTCGGCCACAGCAGTGGTCACACAATCGGGCGGCAAATGCCAGACAACAAACGTTGCCATCAAAACACTGGGACCCGTAGTGGAGCCGCAGCGGCCATCGGGAAGCGGTCAGATCGGCCAATGGTGGCGCTTATGCCGTGAGCCTGACTGTCACTTTAAGACTGAAAGCCTGTTTGAGTTACACCAACATAAGCTGATCCATAGGACCCGATGCGAGCTATGTACCGTACGTATTGGCCGTACGTTTAAAAATAAGCGTAAGTTAGACGAACATCACCGCACATCACATCCCAACGATTACCCGATCATACAAGCGATCAAAGACACTAAAAGAACTGACAAATTAATGAACAATGGATCCGAAGACAGAGTGGCACAGAAAGTGATAGTAAAGAGTGGATTCAGCGGTTCCAACGTATTTCTGCCCATTTCAACGGCCACAGGAGAGGTCAGACAATCGGGCGGCAAATGCCATACAAGCGTTGCAATGAAAACAACGGGACCCGTAGTGGAGCCGCAGCGGCTGTCGCGAAGCGGTCAGTCTGACAAATGGTGGCGCGTATGTCGTGAGCCCAAGTGTGGCTACAAGACTGAAAGTTACACTGACTTACGCCAACATCATCTGATCCATCGGATCACGTGTGACGTGTGTGTCGGCCGTACGTTCAGAAATAGGCACACATTTGATGAACATTACCGCACATCACATCCCAACTATTACTCGTTCGTCAGAGACATTAACGACACTAAAAAGGCTAAGAAATCAGTGATCAATGAATCGGGTGATAGAGTGGCAGCGAATGCGGTATTAGAGAGTCAATCCCGCGGTCCTATTGGCTGTCGACCCGATTCTACGGCTAGTATATCGTCGGCCACAGCAGTGGTCACACAATCGAGTGATAAATGGCGCACAAAAAGCGTTGCCATGAAAACAAATAAACCGATGTCAGTATCAGCGCCGACACCGGGAACTGGTAGTACGGGTGAGAGCCGTACAAATGTGGCCACAAAACCATGCATTCTTCGCAAATGGCTTGCGTGCGGTGTCTTCGGCTGTCGCTCACTGTTTGTGGACAAAGACACGCAATACAGACATCACCTCTGCTCACATCCCTATGAATTCCCAGACGTGCCGTGGATTCAGTGCCACAAAAATAAGTGCACATTTAAAACTAAGGATACCGACCATCTTAATAGACATATTCAAAAATTGCATTAATTATACGCTTATATTCCTCCACTTCTTATAGTGGTTATGATTTTAATTGTGATTCAAATTAGTTGTAATTCAATATAATTAGTCAATTTTTAATTAAATGTAAATGTATTGTTCATTAATAACGTTGTGTTATGTTATTTATGGTATGATTTGTGACACAAAACACATGTTATTTGTTGTGATTTTTGTTATGAAAATCAATGAATAAATTGTTAATTAAATTAGTTTTTACGGCAATTAAACCACAGATTATATGATGAAAACTACAAGAAAAAGTTTAACGATTCCAATGACTGTATTGGTATCGATGAAGACATTGCGTCCAAAAGTGCCCGACTATTGGTTGCCAATACCGGCGGCCGTGAAGACCATCGATGGTCTCAAACGGCATATACTGACCAATGAATGCATCGACAAAGACATGGATGACGTGGATGTCTATTAGTCCGGTTGCTTACTTCGCGGCGACTCATCCATTGATGAAGTCATTCGAGTCAGCGATCGCATTGAATTGCGGCCCAATTGGTTTGCTTCTAAGCAACGGATCAGCTCTTTGCCCGACACTACCATTGGTCACAAAAAGTCAGTAAAGAGTAAATCCAACGGTTCCGTCGACTATCGGCCCGATTGTACGACCAGTATATCGTCGGCCACAGCAGTGGTCACACAATCGGGTGATAAATGGCACACAAACCCTCTAAATGAAAATTGATCGGAGGAATATAAAAAGTGACTATTTTGGGATACATTACTGTAGTTTACAAACTATTGTACGGTTTTATGCATTCAAATTTGCAATAATATTGAAGTGAATCATAATATTTATTAATTATATAAGAATTTCACTAATGTTTTATAATAACAATTGTTTTGTAATAGTAATGATATTAATACTTCAATTCAAACATTGTTTTATAACTATGAATAACTCATTTGTTAATTTCTTATTGTGATTATAATTGTCATTGAAATTAATATAATTGTAATTATTTTCTAAATTATTGATTGATTTAATTAAATGCATGTTTTGTTCATTTATAACATATTGTTATGTTATTTATGGTATGATTTGTGACACAAAATTATGTTAACGTGTTATTTGTCTCGACTTTTCGTTTAAAATCCAATGAAATAATTGTTTATTAATTTACTTTTGATTACAATTAGAGCACAATTCACACCACAAGACATCACTCGCACTCCAGAAGAATGGCATCGAATCCATTGTCTGTATTGGTTTCCATAAAGACATTGTCCCCAGAAGTGGACGACTATTGGCTATCAATCCCTTCTCACTTGAAGACCATCGATGATCTCAAACGACATATACTGACAGACAATTTCATCGTCAAAGACATGGATGACATCCAACTCTATCTCTACAACGGCTTACTTCGTGGCAACGCATCCATCGGTGATGTCCTTCAAAATAGAGATTGCATTGAAGTACGAGTGAAGAGTGCGACTAAAAGGCGGATCAGCTCTTCGGTGGACAATGTTTCTGACAGACTAAAGAGGATTAGAATTTCAACAAATGAATGGTAAGTATTTGGATCATAAATCACATGACAATCACTGCATTTGTTTCCTATAATTAGCACAACTCTTGTGGACTCGAATGACGAGACAGTGGTTGAGACCGAAAGCATATCCGGGAATCAATTGAAGGCTTTAACTGAAGAGATTGTTAATGTGGTAAAGGATCTCATAATTGATAAAATCGTTGGTCAATCGCAAGACAATAGCGATGGTAAGGCATCCATAGATTCTTCCACATCTACTGACACTATTGCGGACATTAAAACGCCGGCCACAGCAGTGGTCACACAATCTGATGATATTTGGGCCGAGTTTGTCGGCACGAGTGTCGCGAAGCCAATGATGTTCGAGTGCTGTTCCCGCGGATGTGACTACAAGACCGACAATCGTCACCACTTTCTCCTCCATAGCCGTGCCATTCATCGCCGGTTTATGTGTCAGTTTTGCCATTTGGTGTCATTCAAAAGTAAATCCAAACTCGAGGGACATTACTTCCGAGTGCATTCCAGCCATTGCTTAGACACGCCATGGATTAAGTGCACTCATGAGGGCTGTGGCTATCAAACCAAACATAATAAAAATATGCGCAAACATATCGATAAAATGCATGGATTAAGGGTAGGGGTGGCCTAGCGTTGGGTCGGTATAGCCGTGGGTTTGTATTGACTGTACAAATGTGTGATAAAGTGTGAAACCCATGGCTAAAATGTACAAACCCTACACTCAATCAGTTTGATTTAATTAATGCCTTATATTCCTCCACTTCTTATTGTGGTTATAATTGTAATTGAAATTAATATAATTGTAATTGTTTTGTAAATTATTGAGTCATTTAATTAAATGCATGTTTTGTTAATTAATAACTGATTGTTAATAAATTCATATATTAATTAGTTTGTGTTTTTTTATTTATTTTTATTTAATAGTGAACTCATATTTAATGAATTGCATAAACAAATTGATCAAGTTGACATTTTATTTGCACCAAAATTTGCATCATGGTGTTTGTGAACAAACCTTTAATCAATTGATGAGTCATTTTTGTCATAAAAAATATTACCCTTTCGTGTACTGTATTATTGAGTCCAATCACACAGAGTTCACATAACAGGTGACAAATTCATACCATATATTGTTTAGTGACTAATTGAACTAATTTAGTCATTTAATTGAGTCCCACAGTATTGATCACTTGTCTGGCATTTCGTCACACATTGTGTTTGAAATCAATTGTAAACATCTATTGAACCGAAAACACGTGTTTCGCTGAACCGGAAGTCCACTCATATTCACTCATTCATAGCAATTGTCAATCAGAGTGTGGATCAGATAAGTATCGGCTATCAGTATATCTCAATGTCCAGTGATAACCACTTGTGTCCTATCAATAATATGACTGAAATCAAATCGATGGTAATATTGGTGTCGATGAAGACATTGCGTCCCGAAGTGAAGGACTTTTGGGTGACAATCGGCCGCAAAGTGACCACTTTTGCTGAGCTTAAGCGCCATATACTCGGTCTGGAAGCGGTCGGCGATCGTCCGTTCAAAGACATCGGCCTCTATTTGGACAACGGTTTGCTTCGCGACGACAGCACTTCCATCGGTGATGTCCTGCGCGGCAAAGAGCGGCTCGAAGTGCGGGACATAAATGATAAATCCGAAGACAATCTGCCGGCGAAACTGGAAGTAAAGAGTGAGACAATGGACTGGAAGGCGAGTATAGCGCCGGTGGAAGTGGTCACCAGATTGTGCTGTCCTGACCCGCTCTGTAGCTACAAGACTGACGACTTGTTTGCGTTCAACCGACACAATCTTCTCCATCGGATCCCATGTCACGTGTGTGGCCGCACGTATCAAACTGTGAGCACTTTGGGACAGCACTACCGCAAAGTACATCCCGGGGTTAACCCAACTATCAATTAGCTGTGCCGATGAGATCCATACCCCCGAAGACGTGGCCGCACAACCATTATGTCATTGAATATCAATTGCTTTCTGATTATCTATACTATAGTTATTTTTATATAAATTATTTCTTTATTATTACTTTAATTTCACTTTTAATTTCACTTTTAATGTCATTTAATTTCTATTTTATTATTTTTAACGAAGAAAATTTGTGACAAATCATTAATCATTTCATTATTAATTCAATTAATTATTGTATTTTGTTTATGATTCAGAAAATTAAAAATAAATATTTATTAAATCATTAAAATTAATTTAATTGTATTTCATATCATATTTAGCTTTAATTGATTCCCAAAGTGACCGCATGTCTCATCTCAACGATTAGAGACAGTCATCGATATTCCTCCACTTCTTATTGTGGTTATGATTGTAATTGTAATTAATATAATTATAATTGTTTTGTAAATTACTGATTGATTTAATTAAATGTATGTTTAGTTCATTAATAACGTATTGTTATGTTATTTATGGTACGATTTGTGACACAAAACACATGTTTTTTGTTATGATTTATGTTTGAAATTCAATGAATTGTTTATGAAATTAGTTTTAATTACAATTTGATCACTAATTCATATCACATTCACACCAGAAGAATGGCTTTGAATCGATTGTCTGTATTATTATCGATAAAGACATTGCGTCCAGAAGTGGACGACTATTGGCTGCCAATACCGGCGGCCGTGAAGACCATCGATGGCCTCAAACGACAGATACTGACCAATGAATGCATCGACAAAGACATGGATGACGTGCAGCTCTATCTGTCCGGTGGTTTACTTCGCGGCCATTCATCCATCGGTGATGTCCTTCGAGATAGAGATCGCATTGAATTACGGGTCAAGTGTTTGAACAAAAAGCGGATCAACTCTTCAGTCGACAGTACTTCTGGTCATAAAAGGTGCAAATGTTTAGTAAATGAGTGGTAAGAATACGAGATTTGACTTTTGATTATAAGAATTGATAATCACTTCATTTGTTCCCATAATTAGTGTAACAGTTATGGCCTCAGATGACGGGTCACTGAGTGGCGGATCTGCTGTTCAGACAATTGTTAAGACCGAAGGCATATCCGGGAATCAATTGAATGATTTTACTGGAGATACAGACATAATGGCAAGGATTTACAAATGGGAACAAATGAAACGTCAATTACAAGACAATAGAGATGGCGAGTCTTCAATAGATTCCTCCACATCTGTGGCCACTATTTCGGGCCCCAAATCTTCTTCAGCGCCAAAAGTGTTCATTAAATCTGAGTTTAAGCACAAAACAGACACAAAAAGTGTCACACAATCGGGTGATAACTGTAACACAAGAAGCGTTGCCACGAATACGGTTACGCCCGAAGTGGGACCGCAGTGGCCATCGGGAAGCGGTCAGACAGCGGCCAAATGGTGGCGCAAATGCCCTCAACCCGGCTGTGACTACAAGACTGATAACTGGTTTGAGTTAAGACAGCATATTCTGGTCCACCGGATCACGTGTTACCTGTGTTTTGGCCGCACGTTTAGAACTCAGGACGAGTTGGACAGTCATTACCGCCGATTACATCCAAACCAATACCCGAATAGACCATTGATTATAGACAATAGAAAGGCTGAAAAATCAGTGACCAATGAATTCAATGACAGAGTGGCAGAGAATGTGGTGCTATTAGAGAGTGAGTCCAATGGTATCATTGAATTTGGCCGCAATTCTACAGCCAATATATCGTTGGCCACAGCAGTGGACACACAATCGGGCGATGAATGTCATACCAGAAGCGTTGCCACGAATGCAAAGACATGCGAAGCCGGGCCCAAATGGACAGCAGAACTGGTCGGTCGGAAGCGCAAAAGGGTCCCGAACTTCAGCTGTGGTCGCCGTGGATGTGACTACAAGACCGAAAGTAGACAAGACTTTGAACAACATATGCCAATACATTGGCGTCGAGTGATGTCCTGTTGTGGACAGCATTTCCGACGCAACAAACAGCTAATCGCACACCAGTTTAAGTCACACCCGAATGGCACCGATTCTATGGCCAGTATATCATCGGCGGTCACAGCAGTGGCCACACAAGTGGTTAAACCGGATGTCTGTCAGCCGTGTGACGGCCAAATGGGCGCAGAGCTAATGATCTTTGAGTGCTGTTCGCCCGGATGTGACTACAAGACCGACAATCCTGAGCACTATCTCCTCCATAGGGGTGTTATTCACCACCAGTTTATGTGTCAGTTATGTAATCTACAGCCATTGAGAACGGCGTTCAAACTAGAGAAACATCACCGCAGAGTACATCCCAATGATTTCCCAGACATACCATGGATTGCGTGCACTCATGAGGGCTGTGTCTACCAAACTAAAGATGACTTCCTTTTGCGTAAACATATTAATAAAAAGCATCATTTAATGAATGAATGGTGACTTATTCCTCCGCTTCTTTTTATTGTAGTTAACTTTTAATTGTGATTATAATTATTGTAATTGTTTTATAAATTAGTGCTTCTTATGATAGAGAATGCAATTAAGTTTTGTTCACTAATAATGTGTTGTTATGTTATTTATGGTATAATTTGTGATACAAATCGTGTTATTTGTTATGATTTATGTTTGAAATTCAATGAATGCTTTGTTTATTAATAAAATAGTTTTGATTACAATTTGATCACAAATTATATCACATCCACACCAGAAGAATGTCTTCGAATTCATTGACTGATGTATTGGTGTCCATAAAGACGTTGTGTCCAGAAGTGGACGACTACTGGCTGTCAATCCCTTCCCATATGAAGGCAATCGTTGATCTCAAAGGATATGCACTGAGAGATAATTTCATCGACAAAGACATGGATGACGTCGAGCTTTATCTCTACAATATATTACTTCGTGGCAACGAATCCATCGGTGATGTCCTCCAAAATGGAGATCGTATTGCTCTACGGGTGAAGAGTGCGACCAAAAAGCGGATCAGCTCTTCATCGGGCAATCCTTGCGATCGATATAAGAGGACTAAAAGTTCTTCAATTAATACAAGATTGAGCGGTTAGTATTGGGATCATAAAACATGACTATCACTGCATTTGTTCCCATAGTCGGCACAATTAGCGGCAACTTTAATGACGAGTCAATGAGTGGCCGATCCTGTGGTCAGACAGCGGTCCCAACGTCGATGATATTGACGTGCGGTTCGCCCGGATGTGACTACAAGACCGACAATCGTCACCACTTATCCTTCCACATGCGTGCCTATCATTTCCGGTTTTGGTGTCATCTTTGTGTTAAAAGTTCAGTTTTGACATCATTTAGACAGTCATTTAAAACTGAGCACAAACTGGCGCAACATCACCGCAGAGCACATCCCAATGATTTGCCAGACACGCCATGGATTGCGTGCACTCATGAGGGCTGTGTCTATCAAACTAATGATAATAAGAGTTTGCGTAAACATATTGATAAACATAATTAGCATAAATGATAATCAATTAAATTTACACATTTACTGATTGTTGGTTATTCCTCCACTTCTTATTGTGGTTATTTAATTGTCATGTAATTAATTGTGTTTTTTATTATAATTAAATTTAAATCTATATTTAGTTAATAAATAACGTATTGTTATGTTATTTATGGTATGATTTGTGACACAAAACACGTGTTATTTGTTGTGATTTATGTTTGAAATTCAATGAATACTTTGTTTATTAATAAAATAGTTTTGATTACAAGTTATATCACATCCACACCAGAAGAATGTCTTCGAATCCATTGCCTGATGTATTGGTGTCCATAAAGACGTTGTGTTCAGAAGTGGACGACTATTGTCTGGCAATCCCTTCCCACATGAAGTTCATCGTTGAACTCAAACGACATGTACTGAAAGACAATTTCATCGACAAAGACATGGATGACATCCAACTCTATCTCTACAATATATTACTTCGTGACAACGAATCCATCGGTGATGTCCTCCATAATGGAGATTACGTTGAATTACGGGTGAAGACTGCGACCAAAAAGCGGATCAGCTCTTCATCGGGCAGTACTTGCGATAGATATAAGAGGACTAAAAGTTCTTCTATTGAGCGGTTAGTGTTTGTATTGTAAGACATGATTATCACTGCATTTGTTCCCATATTTAGCACAACTGATGCCGACTCTAATGACGAGTCAATGAGTGGCCGATCCTGTGGTCAGACAGTGGTTGAGACCGAAAGCATATCCGGGAATCAATTGAACGCTTTAACTGAAGATATTGTTAATGATGTAAAGAATCCCATATTTGATCCAATCATAAGTCAGTCGCGAGACAATAGTGATAGCAATCCATCTATAGATTCCTCCACATCTATTGCCACCATTTCGGACACTAAAATCTTTTCGGTCCCAAAAGTGGTCATCAAATCAGATCTTCGGATCGAAACAGACATTAAAAGTGCCGATAAATCAAAGCCAGGGATCAATGAATACGAAGACAGTGTGACGGAGAAAGTGATGCTAAAGAGTAAGTCCAACGCTTCCATCGACTCTACGACTCTATGGACGCTATCGACTCAATCGTCGGTTGAAGTGATCACACAATCGAGTGATAAATACTACACAAATAGCATTGAAATAAAGATAATGACACCAGAGGTGGGGCCGCAGTGGTCATCGGGAAACGGTCTTAATCTGTCCGATGGTTTACTTCGCGGCAACTCATCCAACGGTGATGTCATTCGAGACAGAGATCGCATTGAAGTGCGGCCCAAGTTTTCTGACAAACACCGGATCAGCTCTTTGCCCGACAGTACCATTGGTCACAAAAAGCCAGTAAAGAGTGAATCCAACGGTTCCGTCGACTATCGTCCAAATTCTACGGCCAGTATATCGTCGGCCACAGCAGTGGTCACACAATCGGACGGCAAATGTCACACAAAACCTATAGCTATGAAAACAATTACACCCGAAGTCGGATCGGTGTGGCCATCGGGAAGCGGTCAAACAGCGGACAAATGGCTGCACGTATGCACTGAACCGCACTGTGACTACAAGACTGACAGTATGTTTGAGTTAAACCGACACAATCTTCTCCATCGCATCCCATGTCACCTGTGTTTTGGCCGCACGTATAAGAATAAACGCACATTAGATCTGCATTACCGCAAATCACATGCCATTCACACTATACCGGACATAATGGCCGACAATTCAATAATCAATGAGTCCTCAGACAAAGTGATAGACAAAGTTGTAATAAAGAGTGAGTCCAGCACTTCCGACGTCTGTCCGCCCGATTCCACTACAAGTATATCGTCGGCCACAGAAGTGGTCAAACAATCGACTGATGTCTGGCCGGCGCGGGTCAGCTCAACGTCAGTGATACTGGAGTGCAGTTCTCGCGGATGTGACTACAAGACCGACAATCGTCACCACTTCCTCCTCCATAGGGCTGACATTCACCACCAGTTTATGTGTCAGTTCTGCGATCGACAGCCATTTAAAAGTGAGCTGAAACTAGCGAAACATCACCGCAGATCACATCCCAATGATTTGCCAGACATACCATGGATTGCGTGCACTCATGAGGGCTGTGTCTATCAAACTAAAGATAATAAGAATATGCGTAAACATAGAAACAAGACACATAATAAGCATAAATGATAATCAATTACACGTTTACTGATTGTTGATTATTCCTCCACTTCTTATTGCGGTTATTTAATTGTCAAGTAATTAATTGTAATTTTATTGTAATTATTGATTCATTTAATTAAACTTAAATCAATTTTTAGTTCATTAATAACGTTGTGTTATGTTATTTATGGTATGATTTGTGACACAAAACACATGTTTTTTGTTATGACTTTTGTTTTGAAATTCAATGAATTGTTTATTAAATTAGTTTTGATTACAATTTGATTACAAACTCATACCACAAGACATCACTCGTGAACCAGAAGAATGGCATCAAATCCCACGTCTGTATTGGTGTCCATTAAGACATTGCGTCCAGAAGTGGATGACTATTGGCTGTCAATACCGGCGGTCTTGAAGACTATCGATGGTCTTAAACGACAGATACTAACCAATGATTGCATTGACAAAGACATGGATGACGTGCAGCTCTATCTGTCCGGTGGTTTACTTCGCGGCCATTCATCTATCGGTGATGTCCTTCGAGATAGAGATCGCATTGAATTACGGGTCAAGTGTTTGAACAAAAAGCGGATCAACTCTTCAGCCGACAGTACTTCTGGTCATAAAAGGTGCAAATGTTTAGTAAATGAGTGGTAAGAATACGAGATTTGACTTTTGATTATAAGAATTGATAATCACTTCATTTGTTCCCATAATTAGCAAAACTGTTGTGGACTCGGATGACGGGTCACTGAGTGGCGGATCAGCTGTTCAGACAATTGTTAAGACCGAAGGCATATCCGGGAATCAATTGAATGATTTTACTGGAAATGCAGAGATAATGGCAAGGATTTACAAATGGGAACAAATGAAACGTCAATTACAAGACAATAGAGATGGCGAGTCTTCAATAGATTCCTCCACATCTGTGGCCACTATTTCGGGCACCAAATCTTCTTCAGCGCCAAAAGTGTTCATTAAATCTGAGTTTAAACACAAAACAGACACTAAAAATGCCGATAAATCAGTGATCAATGAAACTAAAGGGTCAGAAAAAGTGGTAATAAAGAGTGAAACTATTGGTTCCAATGTCTGTCGGCCCGATTTTACGGCCAGTATATCGTCGGCCACAGCAGTGGTCAGACAATCGGGTGATAACTGTCTTCAGCGGCCATCGGGAAGCGATCAGAGAGGGGGCAAACGGCTGCGCGTATGCCGTGAACGCGACTGTGGCTACTGTGGCCCGACTGGAAACTTGTTTGAGTTTAAACAGCATATTCTGGTTCATCGGATCCCGTGTTACCTATGTTTCGGTTTCACGTTTACGGGAACTCAACAACATTTGGAGAGCCATTACCGCCGATTACATCCCGACCACTACTCCAACAGACCATTCATTAATGCTTATAAAAAGTCTGACCAATCAGTGAACAATGAATCCAATGATAGAGTGACAGAGAATGTGGTGGTATTAGAGAGTGAGTCCAATGGTATCATTGACTTTGAGCGCAATTCTACAGCCAGTATATCGTTGGCCACAGCAGTGGACACACAATCGGGCGATGAATGTCATACCAGAAGCGTTGCCACGAATGCAAAGACACCCGAAGCCGGGCCCCAATGGACGGAAGCACTGGTCGGTCGGGAGCGCAAACGGGTCGCGAACTTCACCTGTGGTCGCGTTGGATGTGACTACAAGACCGATAGTAGACAAGACTTTAAACAACATATGACAATACATTGGCGTAAAGTTAGGTCCTGTTGTGGACAGTATTTCCGATGGTCTAAACAGCTAATCGCACACCAGTTTAAGTCACACCCGAATGGCACCGATTCTATGGCCAGTATATCATCGGCGGTCACAGCAGTGGCCACACAAGTGACTAAACCGGATGCCTGGCAGCCGTGTGATGGCCACAGGGTTGCAGAGCCAATGATCTTTGAGTGCTGTTCGCCCGGATGTGATTATAAGACCGACAATCGTCACCACTTTCTTCTCCATAAGCATGACATTCACCACCAATTTATGTGTGAGTTCTGCGATCGACAGTCATTCAGAACGGCGTATAGACTAGCGAAACATCACCGCAGAGCACATCCCAATGATTTCCCAGACATACCATGGATTAAGTGCACTCATGAGGGCTGTGTCTACCAAACTAAAGATACCCTCCTTTTGCGTAAACATATTAAGAAAAGGCATTAATCGATGAATGATTGGTGACTTATTCTTCCACTTCTTTTTATTGTAGTTAACTTTTAATTGTGATTATAATTATTGTAATTGTTTTATAAATTAGTGCTTTTTATGATAGAGAATGCAATTAAGTTTTGTTCATTAATAATGTGTTGTTATGTTATTTATTGTATGATTTGTGACACAAACACAAGGTTTTTATCTTATCGTTGATTTATGTTTGAAATTCAGTCAATACTTTGTTTATTAATAAAATAGTTTTGATTACAATTTGATCACAAATTATATCACATCCACACCAGAAGAATGTCATCGAATCCGTTGTCTGTATTGGTGTCCATAAAGACGTTGTGTCCCGAAGTGGCCGACTATTGGCGGTCAATCCCTTCCCATATGAAGACCATTGTTGATCTCAAAGGATATGTACTGAGAGATAATTTCATCGACACAGACATGGATGACGTCGAGTTCTATCTCTACGATATTTTACTTCGTGGCAACGAATTCATCGGTGATGTCCTCCAAAATGGAGATTACGTTGAATTACGGGTCAAGATTGCGACCAAAAAGCGGATCAGCTCTTCATCGGAGGGTATTTGCGATAGATATAAGAGGACTAAAAGTTCTTTTATTGAGTGGTCAGTATTTGGATCGTAAGATATGATTATTACTGCATTTGTTCCCATATTTAGCATTACTGTCGACGACTCTAATGACGAGTCAATGAGTGGCCGATCCTGTGGTCAGAAAGTGGTTGAGACCGAAAGCATATCCGGGAATCAATTGAACGCTTTAACTGAAGATATTGTTAATGTTGTAAAAAATCCCATATTTGATCCAATCATTAGTCAATTGCGAGACATTATTGGTGACAACACGGGTGCAGTCGGGCCGCAGTGGTCATCGGGAAGCGATCTCTATCTGTCCGATGATTTACTTCGTGGCAACTCATCCATCGGTGATGTCATGCGAGATAGAGATCGCATTGAAGTGCGGTTCAAGTTTGCTGACAATACCATTGGTCACAAAAAACCAGTAAAGAGTAAATCCAACGGTTCCGTCGACTATCGGCTCAATTCTAGGGCCAGTATATCATTGGCCACAGCAGTGGTCACACAATCGGGTGATAAATGCCACACAAAAACTAAAGCTATGAAAACAATTACACCCGAAGTGCGACCGCTGTGGCCATCGGGAAGTGGTCAGACAGCGGACAAATGGCTGCACACATGCACTGAACCGCACTGTGACTACAAGACTGACAGTATGTTTGAGTTAAACCGACACAATCTGGTCCATCGGATGTCATGTGATCTGTGTTTCGGCCGCACGTATAAAACTAAACGCACATTAGATATGCGTTACCGGCGATCACATCCGATAGACCCGATCGCCGACAGTGTGGTAATGGCCGACAATTCAATAATCAATGAGTCCTCAGACAAAGTTATATCAAAGAGTGAGTCCAGCGCTTCCGACGTCTGTCCGCCCAATTCTACGGCTAGTATATCGTCGGCCACAGAAGTGGTCACACAATGGACTGATGTCTGGCCGGCGCGGGTCAGTCGAATGATATTGACGTGCGGTTGGCCCGGATGTGACTACAAGACCGACAATCGGCACCACTTAGCCTTCCATAGGCGTTACAATCATTGCCGGTTTATGTGTCATCTCTGTGTCCAAAGTTCATTTTTGACATCATTTAGACAGTCATTTAAAACTGAGCAAAAACTAGCCGAACATCACCGCAGAGCACATCCCAATGATGTGCCAGACATGCCATGGTTTAAGTGCACTCATGAGGGCTGTGTCTACCAAACTAAAGATAATGAGAAATTGCGTAAACATATTGATAAACATAATGATAATCAATTAAATTTACACATTTACTGATTGTTGATTATTCCTCCACTTCTTATTGTGGTCAAGTAATTAATTGTAATTTTTATTGATTAATATAATTAAATTTAAATCTATATTTAGTTCATTAATAACGTATTATTATGTTATTTATGGTATGATTTGTGACACAAAACACATGTTTTTTGTTATGAATTTTGTTTTGAAAATTTATTGAATAAATTGTTTTAAATTAGTTTTGATTACAATTTAATCGCAAAGTCATATCACAAGACATCACATCCGCACCACAAGAATGTCATCGAATCCATTGTCTGTATTGTTGTCGATAAAGACATTGTGTCCAGAAGTGGACGACTATTGGCTGCCAATACCGGCGGCCGTGAAGACCATCGATGGCCTCAAACGGCATATACTGTCCAATGAATGCATCGACAAAGACATGGATGGCGTCGAACTTTTTATGTCCGATGGTTTACTTCGTGGTAACTCTTTAGTCGGTGATGTCATCCGAGACAAAGACCGCATCGAAATGCGGTTCAAATGTGTGGACAAACGGCGGTTCAGCTCTTCGGCCGACAGTACTGTTAGCCGCAAACGGACTAATACTTCAACAAATGAGTGGTAAGTGTATTGGCGTTAAGACATGATTATCACTGCATTTGTTCCCACATTTACAGCATTACTGTCGACGACTCCGATGATGAGTCAATGAGTGGTCGATCGGGTGTTCAGACAATCGTTAAGATTGAAAGCATATCAGGGAATCAATTATCGGATCCAATCGTTAGTCAATCGCAAGCCTATAGCGATCGCATGCCATCAATAGATTCCTCCATTTCTTTACCAAAAGTGGTCAGCAAATCGGTCGCAAAGAGTGGCGCAAACACTAAAAGTGCTGAAAAATCAGTCATCAATGGATCCGAAGACATGGCCTCTGAGGCAGCGGTTATAAGGAGTGAATCCAGAGTTTCTGTCGATTTTGCGGCCCGTATATCGTCGGCCACAGCAGTGGTCACACAATCGGGCGATAAATGGCACACAAGTGAACCGATACCAGTGTCTGAACCGATGGCCGGAAGCTATGATACGTCGGGTGAGAGCCGAATACAATCGGTGGCTAACCGGCGACGACGCGGCCATCGGTTCCCGTGCGGTTACTGTAGGATCAAGTGCTTCACTGAAGACAAACTACACAGACATCACCTCAACTCACATCCCTATCTATTCCCAGACATGCCGTGGATTAAGTGTTCGCGAAAGCGGTGTTGGTTTCAAATTAAAGATCCCGAGACTATGAGACATCATATGAATGGACATAAAAGACAATAATTTTGAGTATCTATTCGTCCTTTTCTTAATGTGTTTTGAAAATAATGTAAATTTTTGATTGATTTAATTAAATGTATATTTAGTTCAATAATAACTTATTGTTATGTTATGTTATTTATGGTATGATTTGTGACACAAAACACATGTTTTTTGTTATGATTTATGTTTGAAATTCAAGGAATAAATTGTTTATTAAATCAGTTTTGATTACAATTTGATTATAAATTCGTAGCACAAGATATCACTCGTGAACCAGAAGAATGGCATCGAATCCCACGTCTGTATTGGTATCCATAAAGACATTGCGTCCAGAAGTGGACGACTATTGGCTGTCAATACCGGCGGCCGTGAAGACCATCGATGGTCTCAAACGACAAATACTTACCGACGATTGTATCGACAAAGACATGGATGCAGTGGATCTCTATCTGTTTGATGGCTTACTTCGCGGACATTCATTCATCGCTGGTGTCCTTCGAGACAGAGATCGCATCGAAATGCGGATCAAATGTGCGGACAAACACCGGATCAGCTCTACGGACGCCCGTAAGAGACCTAAACGTGAAGCGATTGAATGGTCAGTGTTATGGCCGCTAAGACATTGATTATCACTCCATTTGTTCTCATATTTAGCATAACTATCGATGAATTGGATGACGAGCTGACCAGTGGTTCACCGCTTGGAACCACTCCTGTATTGTCGAGCAGTGTTTCCTCAAAGCCATCAACTTCTGGTTCCAAAGCCACTGTCAATAGACCTGACAATCATTTACGGCAATCAATTGGTGGCCAATCGCGAGCCAGTGGTGACCGCCTGCCATCATCTGATTCCTCTACATCTGCGGACACGAATTGGTGAGCATTTGATTCGATAATTAGTCTTAAAGTTATTTATGTGTTGTTTGTGGCCAACAGTTCGCCGCGAAAACCGACGATTCGGTCGCCAAAAGTGGTCATAAAATCGGAGATCAAATGCGAACCTGAGGTCAAAGTGAGCCGTAAATCAATTAAAAGGGAACCCATAGACAGACACGAAGTGGAAGTGATCCCGATTTCATCTGATTTGTCAAACCTTACAGACAATCACTTAAAAGAAACACCGATTGTTAGCCAATCACAAGCGCGCACCGATCGCAGGCCATCAACCGATTCTTCCTTATCATCGGTGACCACCAATTCGTTAGTATTATCTTCTATTGCATACTATTGTAACTATTGATGTGTTTTGATTTGTGATTAACAGTTCCAGTGGTTTATCCCAGGATTTGAGCACCAAATTGGAGATTAGAGTCAAGACTGAAGCCAAAGACTACAGGAAATCGCCAATCATTGAGACCAATGATAGCGAAACACACGACGAAGTGGTGGCCAATGTGTCCGACAGTTCCGGCGATCGGTTCCGCAATTCATTGGCCGATTTAATGCCACAATACTTCCGGCCGCCATCTCTGGCCACCAATTGGTAAGCCATTGGATGTATAAACACAATAAATATCAGTATCTGTTTTGTTTTGGCCAACAGTGTAACGGATAATATGGCCACTCTATCGGTAGTTCCGGACAATACGGTCACACAATCAGCCGCTATAACGCCAGTGACGGCCACACCAACGAGTGTTAACTATCAAACCAATGAACACTCAATGCCTGTCAACACATCCCAAGAGATTAGGCAAACGGAACGTTACCACTGGTACCGTTCAGCGACCGATAGGCCCCGACCTAACCATAGGCCGTACGGCCGGCACCGGTATAGCGCCGACCACTTGGCCAGCAATGGATACGTTTGTCTGTTTGACGGCTGCGGCCAAACGTTTGACGCGAAACGCAAACAAACCCGACATCACCTGCGGTCACATCCAGAGGAGTTCCCGACAGAGCCGTGGCGTCAGTGCCCGTACAGGGGCTGCGGTTTCGCCACAAAACACCGCAAGTCTATGAATAAACACCAAAAAGTGCACAGAATTTCCGTTTAATGACACGAATAGTTCTCATTTGTGGTTAATATTCCTCCACATCTTTTTGTGGTTAACAATGTAATCATGTTTTTTGTGAATGCACAAGCATTTTGCTCTCAAATGGTAACCATTATTAATCATTGAGATTTATAATGAGCATGATGCATTTGTAAATAAGTACACTAATCATTGTGAATAAATTCATATATCAATTATATTGTGTTAGTTATTTGAAATAACTTATTTCATAATTAAATAATTCACTCATATTTAACTAATTGCATAAACAAATTGATCAGGGTCACATTTTATTTGCAACAAAAATTACATGATGGTGTTTATGAACACACTTTTTATTAATTGATGAGTCATTTTTGTCAAAACATATTACCCTATTGTGTACTGTATTATTCAGTTCAATGACTTGTAAGCATTTCCATACGATTAGCATAGAGTTTGCATAACAGGTGACAAATTAATACCATATTGTTTTGCGAGTGTTTATCATATGGTTTAGTAACAAATTAATCGTCATTTAATTGAGTCCCAAATTATTGATCATTTGTTTTGCATTTCGTCACACATTTTGTTTGAATACAATTTGTGTACAACTATTGAACCGAAAACACGTGTTTCGCTGAAACGGAAGTCCACTCATATTCACTCATTCACACCAATTGTCACTCAAAGTGTGGATCAGATAAGTATCGGCTATCAGTATATCTCAATATCCAGTGATAACCAGTTGTGTCCTATCAATAGTATGACTGAAATTTCTGTAATTGAATCGATGGTAATATTGGTGTCGATGAAGACATTGCGTCCCGAAGTGAAGGACTTTTGGGTGACAATCGGCGACGAAGTGACCACTTTTGCTGCGCTTAAGCGCCATATACTCCGTCTGGAACCGGTCTACGATCGTCCGCTCAAAGACATTGGCATCTATTTGGACAACGGATTGCTTCGCGACGACAGCACTTCCATCGGTGACGCCCTGCGCGGAAAAGATCGGCTCGAAGTGCGGGACATAAGCGATGAATTTGAAGGCAAATTGCCGGCGAGAGTGACAGTAAAGACTGAGACAATGGACTCGAAGGCCACTATACCGGCGGTGGAAGTGGTCAATGGGTTTGCCTGTCCTGAACCGCTCTGTGTCTACAAGACTAACAACTTGTTTGCGCTAAACCGACACAATCTGTTCCATCGGATCCCATGTCACGTGTGTCGTAAGCCCCGCACGTATAAGAATGTGTACACTCTGGAGCAACACTACCGCAGAGCACATCCCGGTGTTAACCCAAGTATCAATGATCTCCGCCCATGAGATCCATACTCTTGAAGACGTGGCCACACAATCACTATGTAATTAACAAAAACAATTATTTTTTAATCTAGTTATTTTTTTTATAAATTATTTAATTTCATTTTAATCTGACTTTTAATATGATTTAAATTATGTTTTGTTATTTTAAACGAAGAAAACTTTTTATAAATGATTAATCACTTAATTATTATTTTAATTTATTCTGTATTTGTGTTTATTGTCAAGAAAATTAAAAATAAATCTAATTTTATTTCATATCATATTTTACTTTAATTCAATTAATGCCGTAATATTTCCGGCCGCCATCTCTGGCCACCAATTGGTAAGGCATTGGATGTATAAACACAATAAATATAAACAACTGTTTTGTTGGCCAACAGTGTAACGGCTAATATGGCCACTCTATCGGTAATTCCAGACAATACGGTCACACAATCAGTCGCTATAACGCCAGTGACGGCCAAACCAACGAGTGTTAACTATCAAACCAATGAACACTCAATGCCTGTCAACACATCTCAAGAGATTAGGCAAAGGGATCGCTACCACTGGTCTCGTTCACATACCCATAGGCTGTACGGCCGGCACCGGTATAGCGCCGACCACTTGGCCAGCAATGGATACGATTGTCTGTTTGACGGCTGCGGCGAAACGTTTGACGCGAAACGCAAACAAACCCGACATCACCTGCGGTCACATCCAGAGGAGTTCCCGACAGAGCCGTGGTGTCAGTGCCCGCACAGGGGCTGCGGTTTCGCCACAAAACACCGCAAGTCTATGAATAAACACCAAAAAGTGCACAGAATTTGCGTTTAATTACACTAATTGTTACCATTTGTGGTTAATATTCCTCCGCTTCTTGTTGTGGTTAACAAATGTAATCAATGATTACTAATCATGTTTTTTATGAATGCTTTTGTTTGACTAGCATTTGGCTCTAAAATGGTAACTATTATTAATCATTGAGATTTATAATGAGCATGATGCATTTGTAAATAAGTACACTAATTATTGTGAATAAATTCATATATTAATTATATTGTGTTAAATAACTAATATTTAATTACAGTTTGGCCCCGAATTTGGCATTTCATTGGTGCTGTAAAAAATATGTGCCAAAATCGAGTTCTGCCAAAATCGAAAATTATAAAATGTGCATAAAATCACATTTTTGAGGTTTAATTTACTCTTTGGGACATAATTTTCAAAATTTTGTTTGAAGTGATGCCATAATCACTAAATTGTGGCACAATTTCATTACAATTCACTTTTTTGTCAATGAATTTAACAATTTTGTATTTTGTTTTAAAAGTGAAATCCCTTCTCCGCTTATATGCCGACATTTTCACTCACAATTATACAAATGTGCTAAAATCGAAGCACAGATTATGCTGTACTGACAGTGAAAAAGCAGTGCTAAATTCGAAATCTGCCAAAATCGAAAATGCCAAAATCGGGTACACTTAACATTACAGTATGCATAGGGCTCGCCGGTGCTAAGAAAACCTTATGCTAAAATCGAAAAATGCTAAAATCGCGTGTGCCAAATTCGGGGCCGTACTGTAATTGCATAAATAAATGGACTAAGGGTTCACATTTTATTTGCACCAAAATTACATGATGGTGTTTGTGAACAAACTTTTAATCAACCGATGAGTCATTTTTGTATAAAAAATATGATCCTATTGTGTACTGTATTATTGAGTTCAATCATTTGT